GTAGCGAAGTTGAAGATAATGCCACCAGATATCCGTAGAAATATATCCCTGCCATAGGAACACACATTCCAATTCATAGACTGTTCGGGTCAAACCCGGACAGGTGGCAACTCTAATGTGTAGAGTAAGTGCAATCTATTGTACAAACTGTACACGCAATACTCTAATTATACAGGACAATACTATTTTGCAAGACATTACTGTATGTTTAATACTTTATTATGATCACCTTTAGACGAATGTAAATGGTATAATGCATGTGTGACAGTAGGGGGCACAGTAATGACATGCAAGGAATACAACGCTTTTCTTATGTAGGGGCGTTGCGGGAAGGTAACACACAGCCACACCTTGGTGGCTACAACCACGTCCGATATAGCCCCGCCCTCAGTGGTGTATGGGTATAAAGGGCGGGGAGCCAGGGAGCTCGGGGCAGTGTGTTGGGGCCAAGAATGAAGAACCAGTGAAGAAGGAAGGCCGGCTAGATAGACCCTGGGACTTCCCTGACCGCTGTCCTTTTGAGGGCCGGCAGGGTAAGCCAGTGGTGCGGCCCCAGAGCCTCAGAGCCGGAGCCCTTTCAAGGGTCGGTCTGGTTGGTGGGGTGCCGTGATCTGTGCTAGACCAGGGCCAGATCAGATAGCCTCCTCTATCGCCTGTAGCTGGAGGAATTAGACTAGATAGCCTAGGGGGTGTCCCAGCGTGTATACGGGTGAAGGGGCCGTTACCCCTTCCAGTGTAACCCTTGTTAAGCTTAAATAAACAGTGCTGCCTCTACTACATCGTCTCCGTGTCCCGTGAACCCACTACACTTACAAGGGCAATATTTTAAAATAACATTGTATGGAATTTCAACATTTCCATCATACAATCTTCATCTCTCAGAAGAGTGTATGGGGAAAAACTCGTGCATATATTTGACTTCTGAATTTATTTATTTAAAAAGATGAGGTCTTGTCTGTTATGGAAGCAATAGAATTAATGGCACATTTTAACAGTCATAGGGAGAGCCCTATCATTTGTCCATCAATGTCTCGGGATTGCTACATAATTCCAGGTCTTAAACCAAGCACATCCATGCAATGTTTTTCATCATGGATTCAGCTATGCATGCAATTAAGGACACAGAATATATCTTTAAAACGTGGATCCATGTATAGACAGAAACATAATGTGCCTCTTTGATTTAAAGCTTTCGTGACTGCAGGGATTCATATTCTTGGTTCTTTCAGGAAAGTCACGTAGAAGGGAAACAAGAATATAATGTGCCTCGTCCATATGGCGATAAGCTTGGACATACTGCTAAAACAGACACGATATGGGTTATTTTCAACAACTGCAATGCAAAGCAGTATTGATATACGTTTGTGCACATTCATTTTTTTATACATATACATTTTAATGACATTGTCACTGGGGTATGCAGTAAATAAGCAAATTGTCAAGTGTTCAATTTCATACGTAAAATGTGGGACATTGGTTATGTCACGTAGCATTTAAATTTATAATTCATTCTTGATTTATTTTATTTGCTTACGCGTGTGAGACACATTCAGCCTCAAGCTGTTTTACAAGAATGACCCGCAGAGGACCTTGGTGAAATAAAGGAAGCTTCAGCAAATAAATCATAACATTGCAGGCAATGAGTAGCAAACACATTGGAGGAGAACAATATTCAAGTCATGCACAATTCAGTGAAGACTGGCAAGTAACAGAGTAAACACCAACTCACGTAAGGGTTCGCTAACCACATGTGCAAGAAAAGGTATATCTTAAATCAAGGAAGGAATGTAAGATTAATTATAATGAACGAATGTTTTCACCAAAAACACCCTTCTCAAAGTATTTATGAAGTCTTAATGAAACTTTAAATGAGCAATATTGCATCTCAGTACAGATTTGTTTTAATATTATTATTATTATGTTTTAATTTAGGGCCCCTTTATAACATATGCTACAGACCCCGCGCTAGCTTAGTCCGGCACTAGGTACATGAGAAAAGTTTTGCCGGCTGGATTTGTGCCTGCCTGGCTGGATTCCTGGTGCACGGGCAGCCCATAGCTTTGAGCCGGGTTTGCGCGGGCAATGGTTTTACGTCCGTTTACTGCCCGCCCACGCTTTCTCTACCCCAGTCGTGTATCTCACGCAAATGCGAGACGGTGGCGAGAGAGAGAGGGAGGTGAGGGAGATGGAGGGAGGTGAGGGAGATGGAGGGAGAGACGGTGAGGAGAGGGGCAGGGGAGAGGGGCAGGGGAGAGAGTGAAAGAGGCATGAAACGGAGAGGAGAGGAGATAGCAAAACGGAAAAAAGAGAGTGAGGTTGAGCGACATGCAGTGGGGAGGAGGATCAGGGAGGCAAGATTGAGACAGGAAAGGAAGATATGAGAATCAGGGAAGATTGTGTGTCTCTCTCCCCGTGGTCTCGCGTGGATTTTTCTCCGGGTCCCACAGTTTTTCCCCTTTCACATTTCGAATCGACACGCGTTTTGAGTATTTGGCTGCTAAACATTTCCACGTGATAAGCTGCTTCATATGGGCTATCATTTGTGGCTGGCTCGCTTCTGAAAAAGGAGCCAAATAGCACAGTGGACCTCACCTGCTCAGATAAAAAAAAAGTTTTATTTTGTATATATAATTTATTTAAAGTGATGTATTCACCTTTCCTACACTTTGCACTGCTAGTGTATTTTTTTCGTATCATTTGTTTTATAATATAACGTTCTGGCCTGCCCCCCCCCCCCCGCCCCCCCCCCCCTTACTGGACATCCGTGTGAAAAAAGAGCTTTATAGCTCATTGGATTCCTCCGGTCTCTAAAGAAACATCCTGGGACTTATTCTTGGTTCTTTCGGTAAAGTCACGTAGACGGGAAATAATAAAATAATAAAATATAAAACAATAAAATTCTCACGACGTTTCGACTGCAACATAAGCAATCATCATCAGGTGTGAAAACCACAACAACCAAATTTGAAAAAGTGGCGGTTATTTTTAACATTAGCACCACGGAGAGAGACTTGACAGTTTGTTCAGATGGACGAATCCATCTATGTTCGGAAAAGAGGAGGGGGAGACGAAAAATAATGGATGCGGTCTGAAAGCCACCTTAAGCGTGATCAATCAATTAAGACCCGAAATGGTTTATCAAATCCTTCCAATGATTGCTAAGCCAGAATCCATCTTCTCGGTTGAAATTGTCTCTGTGTTTGTATATGTGGATAGCCTCAAACCAAACAGTTCTCGTTGAAACCTTCTGCTGCCAGGTCACCAAGATTATACGGCTTACCAAAAATACATAAAGTAGATACACCCCTTCATCCCATCGTCTCTACTATCAACTCCCCCACCTACAAACTGACTCGTTTTCTGTCTGAAATGCTGCGGCCTTTCACTGGAAAAACCACCTCTGCGGTACAAAATTCTACTCACCTGGTATCGACAATGAAGGGTATTTCCCTGTCCCCAGACGACCTGCTTGTTAGTTTTGATGTAGTTTCCTTATTCACCAAAGTTCCCTTACCTGACACCATCACAATCATTGAAGACTTGGTTCATCAAGGACTAAACACTGAGGTACCCCCCTTGGTAAGACATACGTCACTTGGAATGGAACTTTCCACAAACAAACTGAGGGCACCCCAATGGGCTCCCCCCTATCTCCGGTTGTAGCCAACATTTTATGGAGAAATTTGAGACTGACGCCTTATGGAAGAGGTACGTGGATGACACTTTTGTCATCTGGCCACATGGCCGGCCTGCTCAAGACCAATTCTTCGACCACATCAATTCCATACACCCAGCCATCAGATGTACCATGGAAGTCGAAAAAGATGGCAAGCTACCTTTTTTGGAGGTCCTAATAAAAAAGAGACCTGATGGTTCAATGAGCCACTCTGTCTACAGGAAAGCTACCCATACGGATGCTTATCTGAAACCGGATTCCCACCACCATCCATCCCAGAAGAATTCCCTCATCAAGACTCTGCACCATAGAGCCCAATGCATATCCGACCAGGAACATATAGCCAGTGAACTCAAGCACGTACATCAAGCTCTTAAGGTAATGGTTATTCCGACTACACAATCCGCAAAGCTATCACTCCAACCATGAAGAAGGACCCTCTTGAGGAGCCTTTTAAAACCTTCATTTTACCCTACACTGCGGGGATCACAAAAAAGATCTCCAAAATCTTGAATAAACACAAGATCCAGGTCCCATTCAACACATTACATAAAATCCGTGATCTGGTTCCGTCTGTAAAAGATGTGATTCCGGACATACAGTACCCTGGCATCTACAAACTAAGTTGCCTCTGTGGTAGTAGTTACATTGGAGAAACCAAATGACATGTCTCGGACTGCATTCGTGAACACAAAGCAGACCTAAAACACAGTAGGACCAACACCTCGGCCGTGGCAGATCACTGTTATAATTCAGTAGGCTCACATGACATTAACTTCTCCAAGACAGAGGTTCTTTGCAAGCCATCTGGCTACCATGAGAGATTCGTTCATGAGGCTATCCACATATACAAACACAGAGACAATTTCAACCGAGAAGATGGATTCTGGCCTAGCAATCATTGGAAGGATTTAATAAACCATTTCTGGTCTTAATTGATTGATCACGCTTAAGGTGGCTTTCAGACCGCATCCATTATTTTTCGTCTCCCCCCTCCTCTTTTCCGAACATAGATGGACTAGTCCTTCTAGATAAACTGCCAAATCGCTCTCCGTGGCGCTAACGTAAATAAATAAATAAAGACCGCCACTTTTTTCAAATTTTCTTGTGCTTTTCACACCTGATGATGATTGCTTGCGTTGCAGTCGAAACGTCGTGAGAATTTTATTGTTTTATATTTTTATTATTTTATTGTTTCCCTTCTACGTTACTTTACCGAAAGAACCAAGACTATGAATCCCTCAAGTCACGAAAGCTTTAAATAAAAATCCTGGCACTTGATGACTCATGAGTCGGTGGCTGTGGCAGGGCCGTGACCCGGATGTTTATGGCCCCGTCGCCATGGAGACGCCGAGGCCTAGCGACCGTTGAGGCGTTGCTCTCCTACAGTGGCCGAAACTATTTTTTATTGTTGTTCTGGTGCTGGTTTTTTTTCCCCCATTCATTTATCATGATTGTACTGCTGCTATTGTTTATTACGAATAACATTCGCTGATTGCAGTTGTTATTGGTGCCGTTGCCATGATGCGTGTTACTGTAAATGCGTTCTGCTGTTGCTTGTTGATAATTGCTGGTGCCCGATTGTCATTGATGATAACCGCTGCGTGTTCATTACTTCTCACAATTGCTGTATTCTATGCCGACTGTTTATACTTCTCCTATTCGTCAATATACACCTTGTGGGTTTTTTTGACAACGTGCTACCGACACCAGTTGTTTCCTTACCCTTTCCCACACTCGCATCGCATTATCCGCTGCTGATGCACGTCATTAGCTGCTGATATTTACGTTCACCCTTTCCGCTGGTGACGCCTCTCATTCAGCGCTTAACTACTCCTCACGCTGCCGTTTTAACTGTTCCCGAGGATTAATTGCACCTGCTTGCTGCTAACCCGCCGATGAAGATCACCTTCACGTGCAAGCGACGAATAACGAACCATAACCCAATGCTTACTCGCTCTTCCCGATGCTAACTTGACTTAACGACTGTGACGCTGCAGCGGATGATGATTCACAATGTCTGCTGCTTCAGGTTAACCACGGTCTGCTGCTTCAGGTTAACCACGGTCTGCTGCTGCTGCTGATGCACGCAGCCGCCGCACGGACGGAGCGGCCCGGCATCCCGGGCGCCTGGATCCGAGATGGACAGTCGCTGCAGGCACAGTTCCGTATTCCATTTATTATTATTATTGTTTTATTTTTCTTTCACCAAAACACTTTCACTTAAAATGTGTTTTGAGATTCGGGGAACTCTTTAAATGTTAGTTGACATCTTGCCATGGTGGCGAGATGGAAAGGACGCTATATAAATCCGAAATGGAATAGAATGTTAACTACCTCGCCCGGTGTACATGAGGTCCCCCGAGTTCGGTCCTGATACTGACGCCTGCACAATATTTGGACTTTGGAGTTTGCATGTTCTCGTGGTCGCGTGGATTTTTTCTCCTGGGTTCGGTTTTTCCCCGACACGTTTAGAAACGTGCCTTCAGAGTATGCGGCTGCTGTAAATGGCCATGTGATAAGCCACTATTTTGGGCCAGTATTTGTGGACAGGTAGCTTCTGAAAAATAACTATGTTGCTCAGTGGGCCTTACCTGGTAAAATACAAAAAAAAATGTTACGTTTTTATTAACAATGGTGATTATAAAAAAAGCCTTATTGAGTTCAAAGACACTTTCAGGAGTGTCCTACATTGGTATTTTGTGGCTGTTAACATGAATGAGTGTATGGCAAGTACCACTTTGTGGAAATTAACAGGTTGGACTGTTCACCATATGTGGAATTTCCAGCACTCATGTCTAAAACGGATAAACAAATTAAAGACCTATTTTACTTTGGTAATACTGTACTTCAACTTTCTTGATATGACAGTATGTTGTATGTAGATATAAGGTATTAATATACAGCAGCATTGTCAGGCTGCTCAGCCGCCCATAAATATTGTTATAGTCAAGTCAACGTATTGCCTACAAAAGTACAAGTGTCTGCCTCCGTGGAACCCACTACATATGTATACCCACTCTAAACAAGGTCACACGACAAGGCTGCTCTACAGTATTGTTTTATGTCCCATGAAATAACTTACTACAACAGGCAAGTGTTGAGTCATTCATGGTCAATGTGTGATTATTGATAATCCATTGTGTGCTGTTGGTGGTGGCTTTATAGGATTAATGCCTTGGAGAAAGAAAAGCGCATCCAATTTTACAGTAAGAAGAGTGAGTTGAAGCATGACCTGGGAGTATTGGAGGAGTATGAGCTCAAATTACTGAATGATAGGAAATCTGAAGGTATGACATGAATATGCAGCAATTTCGAATGCATAGCACATTAATGCGTCGAAGCCCATACTGGCAGTCTTTTCATGAATTTACTTTGTATTATATTCTTGGTTCTTTAGGTAAAGTCACGTAGAAGGGAAACAACGCCACTTTTTTCAAATTTTCTTGTTGTGGTTTTCACACCTGATGATGATTGCTTGTGTTGCAGTCGAAAACGTCGTGATAATTTTTATTGTTTTATATTTTTATTATTTTATTGTTTCCCTTCTACGTGACTTTACCGAAAGAACCAAGAATATGCATCCCTGCAGTCACGAAAGCTTTAAGTCAAAATTTACTTTGTATTGCCAACACATTTTCGTATGTGAAAGTATTAGTTTCATAGTAAACATGCTGGTGAATTGCATCTATACAGAATACTGTACTGGAAAAATAAGTTGTGTATAGGACAACATGATTTCTGAGATGCTGCATTGCACCTGTAGAAGTTTAGAAAATTAATGCCTGATATTTCCTATAATTAATGTTTTTGCTGTATTGACAGAACTGAAGTTGCAGCAGCAATTAAACAAATTAAAAACTAGTGTGCTCTTGTTTCAAAAAGAACTCAAGGATGTTGCGCAGAACTCAGAATGTGAGTATAATTATTTTGGTCTGTTTTGCTTTAAACCTTACGCATTTTGTCTTTTTGTCGTGTGAATTACATATAAGCTAAAATACATGACTGGAAATTAAAATGTTTTTTTTTTAGTTGTTAACAAGCTCAAGGGGACCATGGAGGAGGTTGAAAGAACCATCAGCTTATTTAAAGAACAACAAAGAGAACTGTACGTATGCAGTGCGTGTGCTTTTAAGATTGTGTGAATTGAGCTACAAGTCGTATTTGGTTATAATGAAATGCAACATTAATAACAATGTTACTTCGAGTTTAAAAAGGTCAGTGGTAACTATTTCAATCCCCATAAATACTTGAAACATGTACTGCCAAACTCGTTTTTATGTTACGTTCATGTCTATACAGCATTTTGGTCATGAAAATGATCTCTTTTAAAACATACTTCACATAGAGAAATGAATGTGATACTGATAACACAATTTTTTGTTGTTAAAATTGTTGAATGTCATTTTGTGAGTTATGGTGCTGTTTTGACTTTGCATCCACGTGCGTGTATTGCTCACAGGCGCCCACCTCATTTAAAGTGCAATTAAGCAAATGTGTCTGTTTTCGTGAAAATATGCAGCTATGAGCACCTAATGAAAGATGAGAAGATGACAAGTCAGGAGATTGGTGCTTTGGAGAAGAAAATTGAATCCTGGTCCCAGGGGTCATTATCTAATCCCAGGATAACAAAATCTGCTCTTGCTGCTAAGGTCTCTGCATTGCAGACACATTTTAGAGACTTATTGAAATATGAATTTTGAAATGCAGACAATATTAACTTTTACAGCTTGCGATATATTTTTACCGAATCTCAATGCTATTTCTACATACATGTGTAGTTTTATTCTGCATTTGGTCACTAAGCTGTATTATAATGTTTAATCGTTATGTAGTGTGATAACATAGGGGCAATTACAGATATATATTGATTGCAACAGAAAAAAAACGTATTTTGTTGTACATTTTGTTAACTCAGGAAAGGAAATAAAATAGTACATCACTGCTTTATGAAGGCCTCTCCCCAAGTCATCACCATCCTTCATGGTCCTATGCATAAGCTAATTTCATTTCTCAATCTCCAGAGTGATCGGCCTTTTGGGCGTGTTTTTTCCTTTGCCATTCTATTACCAGTCTCATCCATCGGCTGTCTTCCCTTATAGCATTGTGTCTTGCCCATGCTTACATGATTTTATGAACAGTCAACATGATATCTATAATTTGTGTGTGTTCTCTGATCCATATGTTTCAATGCTGTTTTTTTTATTTTCAATTTGCTTATCTCGATGCTTTACAATGGTTTCACCTTTTGTTCCATGTACATTAATGATCAGAGTCCATATTTCCAATCCGTGTTATTGACAGGTTGCATGCCAGCACGTACAATTATGTAAATAAATGAATGCTATTTCAACATTCTATTATTTGTATTGAATGTTGCTCAATAAGTTTAAAGAATTACATGTTTTTAGTGTTAAGTTGTCCTTCTGATGATTATTTTACTGAAATGTGATGCACAGGTGCCGTTATCCAAAACCATTGAGGATGACCTACCAGCAGAGGTGGTGGCCTTTGAAAAGTTCCTGCAGCAGAGTGGAGGTCGACAGGGTGGGTGGGACGACTATGACCATCAAAACTTTTTGAAGGTACAATAGTTTTTAGTAACTTTTAGTCATGACACCTCTAGCCCCATGTGTTGCATCATCGGCAATAGATTTTGGTTTCCAAGAAGCTTTCAGGTATGGGTATATTTTGTTTTCCAGTCTGGATATAACAACAGTTTGTTTTAGGTGCGGACAAGGCACAAGGGGAACTTGCTGTTTATAGAGGAGGCCTTAAATTATCTCCCTGGACGGACACGTGAAGATGTGGAACAGCATGAGACCTGGTACAAGGAGTTCCTCGACCTGGAAGATGAAAAAAAGGAAGCAATTTCTCGTTGGAAGGTACATTATACTATTATACTCTTACTCATGGATTATGGGTATTATTTTGTCACTTGAAATTTTTTTTTACTGATTAATTTTATCGTCAAATGAAGTACTCTATTGAGTGCCAGTTATACATTGTAACATGTGCCGTACGTTCATTAAACATGTCTATTTGTTAATGAATGGCTTAAAATACAAAACCTAATTTAAAAGGCGATGACTTTAAACTATACGTAGTGTATCAATCACATCATTGCTCGTCTCAAAATCCCAAGTTATGCAGGGAGCGCGAGCGAGCAGAGAAACTTGCCAAGCAAGAGAAAAGTTCAGAGGGGCAAGAAGCAGAGAAAAAGGACCAGGAGGAGGCTTGGTTACAGAAGCTGAAGCAGGAACAAATCCAGAAACGTGAAAAGATTAATGCCTGGAAAGCCCAGCAAGAAAAGGTAAAAGCCAACACCTGCAATTCCGAAGTATAATGGGGCTGCAAAATTCAAAATATTCAACTGAGTACTTTACAGACATGGTTATTGGTGAAAGCATCTGATCAAAAATATTATTGATCGTATATTTAGTTTGTGTGAGCTCTCAACAAGGCACTGTTTAACACAGTGTGCCATTAAGTTCTAGATTTTAAGCGCGTGGATTGATTTACCGTACACACCAGAAGATGCACCTTTTCGTCATGCACATGCTAAATCTGCATTATTGGGATGTGCAGGCTCGGGCAGATGAGGAGAAGCGGCGGCAGCATGAGGAGGAAGAGCGCGCACGATACAGGGAACGTGAGACGCAGCGCCAGGCTGAGCTTCGAGTCCTTGCCAGAGAGCATGCGCGGCGGAAACGACAGCTGAAGGAGCAGCAGCGGCGAGACGAAGAGCTCCGGGAGCAGGCCGAGCGGGAGGACAAGGCTTGTCTGGCCGCACAAGAGATCCAGCGTTTCCAGGAACGAGTGGGTGACTTTCCAATTCCTCTTACTTTGTTTTATTCAGACGGTTCCTGATGCGTTTAAAACCAAGCATGAATCCACGTTCATGTTTATGACGGAAATCCAGGAAAGCAACATGTATAGTTTCTTTTGTAAAAAAAAAAAAAAATCTATGTAGATTTAGCTGAAATATATTAAGAGTGGTGTTGTGTCACGCTGCATATGAGTTTAAGATAATGTATATAGTACCTGCGTGTGATTATAGGATCAGGAGAAGGTTGAAAGCAAACTTCTGGAGAAGAAAGCCAAAGAGCAAGAAGACATTGAACGAGACAGGCGTCTTGCTAAACTGAAACAACAGGTTTGCCTTTGCGTATGTGGACTGTTACTGTATATACTTTATGAAGAATAGTTTTTCTTGGATTTGTATATAAATTTTACAATAAATTGGAAGGAAGCTAAAGGTTCGGCTATATTATACATTGGTTCTATCCATTCGTTTGTACAGTGCAGAAACTTAATGAAATAATTAAAGTGGAGGCTATGAACATTTTAAACGGCTATAGAGTAAAACCTCTTGAAGCCATGCTTATTGGGGGAGAGCATTCTGGTTATGGAGAATGTCCGGCATCCAGCATATAATAAAAGAATGCATAATTACACAGTTACATTATATTTACGCATAATTAACACCGAGTTCATTTAATGGCATTAAATAACTAAAAAAAAGTATTAACAACTTAATATTTACAGTTTGACAACATTAAACTACAACAGTTTAATAATAGAATCTTATCATTATGGTAAGTCATTTCATTACTAGATTAATGCCTCGCATATTGTGTTGGTTTTGAGGATTGTTTGACCATACACCACGCTGAAGAGAGGGCCCAGGAATCGTTTCCAGTGTTTCTACCCATTGATATTAGCCATGGATGGCAATCCAACTTGGATTGCTGCCCCAATTGTGAAATAACACGCACCGATTAATTATGCATCTGGCATAATGCATGGTTATAGAGTGAGTGTTTTATTTGATTTAGTTCACAGTCCAATATATCTGGGCAATGCCTCTTAAAATGCCAAGTGTACGTGCTCTTGCTGAAGCACGCGCATCTGGATTATGTTCCGGAACAGGTGGAAGTGCACGTTGAAAGGGACCCCAGCAGACTCTTGAAGCTCACCAAAGGTTGGCTGGAAAGAACCAAACACATTGGACCTTCTGGGGGAGGTCCACTTTTAAAAATCCCTCACAGGTAAGGCCCATGTACAAATATAATGTCATTAATTTCACTTGTCAGATAACAGTTAATGGAGTGAATTGTTGTTAGCATGTAGCTTTGTTTCATCGGAGTAACTGAATCAAAATCTGCATGCCAAGTTGATCATGTAAATGCTCTGCTAATACTTTTGGTATATGTCATAGTTGCACATGGTGATGTGTTAAATTGTAATTGTATTACCTGCTTTATGTAAATGATAAAATACAGATTGTCTTTACAGAGCCGTTCCTGACTGGAGACAAGGACTTTAATTTTCACCATTGTGGAGGTTTGTTCAGGCAGTACATTGTGTTAACAATAATCTATTATATCTAGATTTGAAGCTTTCGTGACTGCAGGAATCCATAAATTGTATACCTACGTGACTTTACCGAAAGAACCAGAGAGTAATAATCTATTATATTCAACAAGGTTTACCACAGCAGGTTTACCACAGTAGTGTCTGCTAAATCTGTTGTTTGAAACAAATATTGTGAAATATTTTGAGGTGCTAACTTTAGCAATTCGAGGCGATGAATAATGCAATCAGATTTAATCACCGACTTCAAGAATCCATTGTGCAACTTGAAAGGAGGTTTTCATTATCCCTGTGTAAAATGTTTCTATAGAGTTTAACATTGTAATGTTTGTGTTAACTGTGTAATGGTAAATAACATACAGTCATTGTTGAAATCAGTTTTGCCTCTGTTTTTTTTAATAAGAGTGAGTGCAGAGTCATGTCATGATTGGGGTATTTAAATATTGAGTAAACATTCAGTTAAGCAGGTCGACAAACTTTGTACCACCAGCTAATTATGCTACATCGATGATTCCAGTTATTCCATCTGGTACTGGAGCTATCCCTTTTCATATTGAAAAGGGCAGTGGTTGTTCCCGCATGTGTGATATCTGTAAATCATGTGAAAAACTATCCTTCACCTGTGGAGTTTGAATTTTCTGTAGGGGACGAGCGTAAATAACACGATGTTATATGATTCTTTGTCGAAATAATGTTTCATTATGTTTATGTATTTCTTGGCTGTGAGCTCCCGCAGATGTTATTCTCCCTCATTCCTCTCTCCGATGCCAAGTTAACCATCCTCTCGTCCCTCTTACCTACCCTGGTATTGAGGTGCCCCATTTCCTATGGTGCAGTGTGTTTTGATGTCATTTAGATGTTGGTTAATCTCTTCATACATGTAGGCTACTGATACAGCTTGATGGCTTGTTGTTGGAGCATATATTTGAATGACTTAACATGTATTCATTAGAGAGTCTTTAACTTACATTTTGAAATTCTATCACTTGAAATTCTTTTGAATCCTAAAATCCTGTGCTTTATTCCTGCAGTAAACAGATTCAGGATCTTTTTTAATGTATTTCCTATTATCTTATAAACTGACACGCAGCGATTATTGTTGCTGTCTGATGTGTTTTATGGTTGTACCTTGTGTTCTTTTGCATTCTTTCCCACCTTTCCCTCCACATATTGTGAATTTCTTCAATAATTGAATTGAGCAGCTCACATTGACATTGTTATTACCTGTAGAGGGAGACAAAGTCACTGGGTTGTTAGACTTACTTGAACATGCTGTCATTTACAAACCACATTTAGATCAGTAATTGGTGGTTAAACATTAATAGTGCATATTAGGAGCCTGCAATTAAAAGTGTGATTTATGCATTTTTTAAACGTTTGGTGTTTTATATATTTTTAATAAAGTGGCATGCAATGCATAAATTAAAAAAATGTTTTACTTTTTTTGGCAGGAGACTAAAATTATATTACGTTATATTTAGCACAAAGTGCCACATCGAGTTTTTTATTAACACATTTTAGTATATTGTTTCTTTCAAGTGTATATGATCTAAAAAACACAAATTTGTAATCTTCATAATCAAACGAAAAAATCAACAGTGCTCATGAACCAACCATTTAAGAATTTTGTGCACATGTATATTTTTTTGTTTGGTGAGTAAAAATAATTTATTCAAAACGTCTTTGGAAATAATATTCTGCCACAACATAGTGTAAAATCAAATAACTATCGGACATCAAGGCTGATGAGGTTCGCAAAGTACTACCTTTAAAAAACGGAAAGGACTTATATTGCCTGTGCATCTCGACACACAAACAACTTGACATTTATGCGAATCAATGATATATTGAATTTATTGTGGGAATGTATTCTTTGCCAATGTATTGTGGAAAAACAGTGAAATGTGTATTTTTTTATTTGGCCATTTTATGCTGAAAATTGGCAAAAAGCTTTTCAGAATGCATTAGTCAGGACCCAAGGGCAGAAAAAAGTTTACCACAATGTTAATACAACAATTGTATATCGGAGGGAATAAAAGACCCACACATTATTAAAAACTGTTTTAGGAATAACTGTTTTACACATCTGATAACTCATAATCAGCTCCATGTGTGTGTGTTTTTACACACACTGTCTTTAATGTTTGTTTCTGTTTGAAAAATGCCTTTAAAATCAAGCCGCATGTCCTATCGAAGACTGAGAAATATTTTTGGAGATGAACTTTAGTCAGTACAGATTCAAATCTCATGACATTTTGAACACTTAAAATAGCATGAATAAATGTGTGCACCAGGAATAAGAGGTAAAGTATGATTTTGATTTTTGGGAACATATTCACTTCTCATTTTTAATTATTTATCTAAATGGAAAACATCGTGTAGATTCTATGTTTTAATTTATTGACGTTTGTAAACAAACGTATTGAACGTACGTTAGAAAATAACACTACATACAACTCAACAGATTTGTCAATAACACAGCCTTAAAATAAAAAGGATATAATCGGTGACGTTTTGGGAAATGGCCCTTCTTCATTGCACATAGGCCAGATAAGTACAAAGTGGAACAAAGTGCCAGCACTAAGTATCTTTTTATGTTAAAATTTTTAAAGCAATTTAGTTATTTGTAATGATAAAATTATAATTGCACATTTTACTTATGTAATGTAAAACTGTAATTGGAAAATAATTCACTGATAAATGTGAGGACACTTGAGCAAGGTAATTGTGCATACGTTAGCAATTTTAACCACATTTTCTATTTATGATATTAACATTACAACAATGGACACTGTTTCCAATGAATTGCCAATTTGTTGCCAAGTTTTACAATTATGCCCAAGTGTAGTTTATTCATCAATAAACTTTTCAGCACAAAATATGTTCTAGATTATGTAAAAAAAAGTATGTAACATCTAGCGTTACAAACCCAAGTATATGATTTATGGTGAGAATGTGGAGATTAGGTAGCTAATCTTACAGAAATGTGTCCTTGCAACTAAAGGCATACAAGATAATTGCAGGAATTACAACTATGGTAAGGAATGGCCAAAATCTGATTTATAGTTCCAATATGTTAAAAAAAGCAATCAAACTATTTTCAGATAATAGCTATGCAATAAAACCAATCAGTTCTATAGAGAATGGGTAATTAAAATATGCGAGTATTGAATATATTTTAGAGCACGTTTGGTTTTCCCAAACTTGCAATATATTGGGCATCTGATGACCAGTTATATACGTAAAAAGTGTCATTTGGCCCAAATAAACAATAGTTTTATGTAATTCAAATTTGTATAAATAGTCAATTTAAAATGTGTGCTTTCGCGACCAATATCTATAATAGAGGGTGTTTTGAGGGGTTAGAGTGCGTAAATATAAATGTGTCGTTAAACCTACCACCACCCAACAGCTAATTCGTAAGGTTTGTCACGTAAGCATAACCATTTGCTCTCCAACTCACCGGTGTGCTGAACTAGTAACGAATTGGCTTGTTTTGTTTACCTGACAAACCTTACTAATTGTCTGTGTCGGGTGGTGGTGATGGGTTTAACGACATTTACACGATCTAATCCAAAAAACCCGCCTCTTATGGAAAATGGTGCAGTACACTTAAAAACAATATTTTTTGTGCTCATTGTCTTCTTGCAATTTGGGTAGTGATGTTAGATAAACAACAGCCTTGGCACAGTATCTATAGTCATTAAACGTATGCTAAATGAACAGATGAAGCAATGGGTTTTGAATACTATTGCATGAAATTCCTGTTAAGTCGCCCATCAATACATTACATTAATAACAATGAGCTTCAAGAACATATAGGAATAGAGTATAATTGTTGGCATATGGCATGTGGTTTTACATTTAATTATAAAATGTAAGTTTAAAACCACATCACAGTAGGAAAAACGGATGTATACCTATTTTCAGGGTTTTTTTCCACAACATGACATAGTAATTAAACTGGTTAGATCCCTTTGAACTTTAAACTTCAATGCAAAAAAAAGCTTCATGAAAATAAAAAAAATTGCCAGGCAAGTTAAATGAGCGTGTCATACATAATGTATTTCCTGCTTTTGATACAAACCAAAACTGACATTTAATAAGGGCCTTTATAAGTCACCCATATGGTTCAAAACAAGTTATACAAAATATATCTTTTCAGCATTAAAGAAAGGGAGATAAAAAAAAGTTAAAGTCATACTTTTGTATTCGCATATATCGAATGTAATAACACTATGTAACACATTTTTTTCCTGGGTAGTGTTATTTCGTAATTGCTTATACCTATAAAGTATAGAAAATGGCTATTTTTCCCCACAAACTTTGCTTTTGTGACCAAGACAGTGATATTTAGAAATTTACCTATTTTCAATGAGAATACGGGTGAATTTGTGTATTTTCGTTCACATAAAGTCAGAAAAACCAACATGAATCAAAATTAACATGTATTTATACTAAAGTAATACAAAATGACTACACAAGATTTAGAAGTGAGTAGTTTTTTGAGATCTACGATTATACTGTAAATCACTTTCACGAATCAGCCCCCAAATGTAGTCTGCCATCATGTTCTCGTTATAGTGTCCTTGGTTGCGGCGTTCAAAGTCAAGTATATCCTGGTGGAAGCGCTCGCCTTGCTCCTCCGAGTACGCTCCCATGCTCTGCTTGAATTGATCAAGATGAGCATCACGGATATGGACTTTGAGGGACATCCTACAGCACATTGTGCCGTAGTTCTTCACCAATCTCAACCAACTCCACCCAGTTTTCGACCTTGTGATTGCAATAGCAAGCATGGAAAGCGATCAGTTCAGTCTGGTGAGACTTCAACATATTCAAGTTTCGTGCTGACTAAGTAAGTAGTGGCCTATATATGTGTTTCTGTTTCAATAGATAATAGGGCTGAGAACACAAAATGTTGTGCCAGTGAAAAACAGCCTAAAATGAAGTTGACTAGCCAGGAGATAACTTTTCCAGATTGTGTTGGCAAGTGACTGTTACTGTTTATACATTTGTTCTTCGCAGTTTCCAAAGACTCCAGACTCAAACAACAGGAAGCAAGTTGCCCTGTTGTTAAACATCATGTGGAGATATGCTTTAAGTCTACACCTATTTATTGTAACAATGGGGCCTTTAATCGTTGAATGTCTGTATACTTCAGGTCATAGCACAAAACTGAAATATAATTCCTTATTCTGACTGTAGCAAGAGTGAGACGCCTCCTGAGATTCAATGGTAATAAATTACTTTGAGGAAGTTTTCTGCCAAAAACTAGTGTTTTCACTTGAAATAACTTCATTAAAACTTTATTTGTAACCAACAATACAATGACATAGAACTAACACATTTGGGTTAGTTATGCAGTGAATAAATGTCAATGTATTTCCTTCTAAACTGTCCATATCACTTCATATGTTTACTTGCTAAACACTTTATTTTCAATACCGAGGAAAACCTTGCCCAATGCGGCTTGATCGAACCCGTATTTCGGCTATCCTTCGTTTACAGTCTGAGGTCTGTTTTCCGGAACAAGGGGAGGTGATGCTTTGGCTGTGATGTTTTTGACGCTGCTAAAGATTCTCATCTCCACGTCGAAAAGTATTGCAGTGAGGGTGCTGCATCCGAAGGTGTAAATTAATCGACTGTGCGAACGATTTATGAACCATGTATGTTTTTGTGTGCGGTTTTTTTTGTGTGTGTGATCATGTAACACACTCAACACGCACACCGCAAATGTTCGAACATTGCCGCATTCATCCAGCCTTTGCAGTCGTTGCGAACCGTTAATCTTACGAAAACCCAGATGGCGAATGCGGACGCCTCGATGGCGAATAGTTCACGTTAAAGTGACAGTGTTAGGAGCGAGCGTGGGGGGCTGCCAGTTAGGTGTTAGGGGGCGACTGTTGTTGGACGGTGCGGGCAGTACAATAGAGACGGGGTGAAGTTGAAAAATAGTGTACACACACGCGCACACAGGACATGGACAGCAACTGAACTTCCCTGAGTACAATAACAAGGGTGGAGATCGTGCAGAATTAGTTCAACGAAGAGGGAGTGGGTTATCAATTCGAACCCAGGAATGGCAACGCGATTTTCCCCAACACGGAATTTTCC